GAGGAAAATTATTCATCAAAGGGTATTAAACATGAAGTAAAGTAATTATTTTTTTTTAAAAAAAGCTTCTGTGAATGTTAGCATGCAGAAATACTGGAGTATAATGTTGATTACACTTCATCCTTCACTGAGAACAAATCTTCTGTTGTTCAGTTTAGCCCTGAAGTCAGTGTCTTGGTCTTTTTTAAAACACAGCTTTTAAAAATTTCCAAATTATTCACTATTTCTCATCAGAAAGCCCCAAGATTTCAAGATAACATCACACCTCTTCCTGTAAAACCACCTTGACTGCCACGTTCACCTCCATCTTCTTTCATGACCATTTGGAGTTTTTCGTAGAAATCACAAAAGATACATTTTCGTCTAGAATCTACTCTACACCAAGGGAAATATAATACATTAGAAATTGTACTGCCGTTTCTATAGATCTTTCTTTCTACTCTAAAACAAACAAACAAAAAAAAGTGTTACATTCTGGGAAAGAATATTTAAAAGATTATAGCCACACTCATGCTGTGAACTGTTTTGCGCATACAATCATCAGACCACTCTGCTTCTTATGCTCTCTCATCTGACATCATCATCTATTTTGTTGTACCTATGGGGAAAAATATTAGACAACCCTGTGTGAAGCTACTGTGCAATTAGCCTGATATGGTTACATATTTCATGAATAAAGCCAGTAATTTTCTTTTTTTGGTGGGGTGTTTATAAACTTTCATATTTATGTAGATCTGCTCAGGCTTTGCTAATTAAAATCTGACTTTATTAGCAGTCATAATTAGAGCTCTTCAAGATGAGCTGTTTTTTTATAATTCTTCAGACAGCAGATTGTCTGAAAGGTTGTAGCACGATGGCCCTATGTCCACCTCTGCTTCCAAGCGTACAAAAATTTCTTAGAAAAATAACAAAATTAAATAAAAAATATAACGACTTTGAGAAAAATTGAGAGAAAGCTTGTAGGAGCAAATAAAGGTTAAGAGAAATGAATTTATAAGTTCAGTTTAGTTTTTCAACTATTATTAAAACAATAATAATAGAATTTAAAAACTCTTTGTTGGAATTTTCCAAAAGTTTTCAGAAAAACAGTTTATATTGAGGGGTGTCACACAAAGTCTCACATAAGTTTTTTAGGGGAAACTGATAATTGGGCTCATGTTCTGCTCTTCCATTCCTAATGATCAAAGAATACTGGTTATGCTTTATTAGAACTCTGTCTTCACCAGCAGAAAGCCACAGTGAACATCAGTCTTTGGTCTGTGCTCCCACAACTTAGAACTGTGTTTAAGAGGAAATCCTTCCTCTTTAGGATGCATAGAAGTCTTTGTTAGGCAGTCTACATTTTTCTTTTCCCCTGCTTCCCACTTTTTGTAGCACAATTGCAAATGCTCTTGAGGTTGCATTAAGCATGCTTAGACTGCCCCCAAGACACTCTGAGAGGGAGGTGGTTCTTCCTTCACCTCATGCATAGCCAGATTAGTAATTGAGGGAGGAATTTTAAAGAGGAACTAGTGAACAGTTAGAATTTCTTTTTATGGAATAATCTTTTGCCAGGAATAGGCATGTCAGTTTGGATAGTAAAGGTCATAGTCCAAAGAAAGTAAGACCATTTTCAAAGACAGATTCTTCCGCTCCAGCACTACAAAGTGCACACATGAAAGCAATCTTTCTATCTTCTTGTCACTATTAAAAGTCAGTATTTAGTACAAATATTGTTTCAGCGATTTTTTTTATTAATTTCTGCATTCAAGCATTAAAGGTTGTCACCTAAATGTAGGCAATACACACATGAGCACATGTGAAAAGGTCTGTTCAGAGATGTTTGTTCATACCGCTAAAATAGGAGAAGCTTGGAAGAACCTGGGTTTGGAACTTGTTTGCACTGTGATTCCTTCTACGTTTTGATACACATGCTTCAGCCTTCTCCACATCCTAATTTCCCCTGCTTCCTGTAACTCAAAAGAAGACATTTATGTCACGCATTCAGTATTTTGTTTCTGTAAAGAGTCTACACTTAAAAGGGAATCCACATTTTTAAAAAAGATGTGCATCCACACCTTTAGGTCTGTGAAGGTTGCTGAGCTACTTTGATTTATAGATGTTGTGAAATAAACTTTAAATCTCTTGCTTTTCAAGCTTTTTTTGAGTGGCTGAGCTGTGGCTGCTGATGGTTCCATCCAGAGGGTGAGAGATTTAGATGACTAGCTGTGGCTTGTGTGATGGAAGCCAGTTCAGTATTTATAGTTTATGTTTTGAAATTTTAGAATAAAATAACATCAGGCCTGCTTTTTAACCCAAACATTTCAGCCTGTGTCTTCCTTTCTTCTATTGGCATGCCAACAATTCATTCAATACAAATAAGAGGTTTTGTGCTGCGACTGGACTGTGAGATTGCCATGTTTCTGGAAGGTATCAATGTAGTATGCACTTTTATATCCAAAATAGCATATTTCTTTTGCTGCAAATAGGTATCAAGAAAACTTGAAAGCTCAAGTAAGTAAAAGAATAAGACAATTAATCCAGATGAGCAAATAATTTTTTCCCTTCTTCTATATTTGTCTTAATATTCTTGTCTCAGTCCTCAAAATATGAAGAATGAATGTTATGGAAATGCATGAAATAAGGTGCATTTTTCAAAAGAGAGTTTCAGCATGGCTACCAGAAATGTAGTAGTTTTCTGGATAACCCATTATCATGGTTGTAAAATTAAGAACTGGCATTAGAACCCATATCACCTGACTAAGAGCAAGACACATAAATTCAAGAGTTGTAATGCTGTAAAAATGTCAGTGAACTGAATGGCATGAAAGTACTACAAGATATTTGTCTATGTGTATACTAGCCACAAGCATGCAGTCATTGATAGAGGATTTAACTGACAAATTTTAAAGATAAGATCTGACCCTCTCTGGTTTTCTAGTTAACTCAATGACCTTAAAGTGATTTCATTTGAGGTATAGAACTGAGGGTCCCAATTGTGAAGGACTGATGACATCATCATTACCTGTAAGTGTCATTTAAGGTTCAAGATACTGTTTTAAAGAGTGTTGCACTGACTTCAGGCACTTCATTCAAATTATGATACTTAAATGCTAAAAGCCCTGCAATTGACATGATAGAATTGGATTCAGTAAGTAATGGATACACTTTAAAATGGTAGAGAACGGTAACGTTAGGATATGGGCAGGAAATATAAAATTAATTCAAAGATAAATTCCAAATGGTGGTGTGTTCTGAAAATGTGTGGAAGGTATGACACAGTCTAGGTGGATGAATGAAGGGACCTGAAGGATTTCAGGGAGGTCTTGCAGGTTTACAGGTTGGGGAAGTTTTTGGTCTTTACAACGTCTTATGAAGGCTACTATGAAGCAATGTCTAGCAAGCCAAAACTGAATTTGCTTTTTTGTTTCTGATAGATTATAAATGAAATAACTGTTCAAAGCATCATGCTGACAGAAATCATGATCAGAATACTGAAAATCTTTAGAGTGCTATGCTATGTATTTTGTTTAGTCCCACAACTAAAGGTAAAGTTTTTCTAAGAAATACGGTCTTGAATATTTTTCTTTCAATGTGTTAGTTTCTATGTCCTTGAATATGAGAAAAGAGGAGGTCTTAGAAAATACCAGCTCTACAGCAGTCTCCATTTGTAATTATGAGCTACTGCCTGAACCTATTAGCTATGAAGCCACCTGTTTGCCCAGTATAAATAGCTTAGAATTTCCTGCAAGGAAATTACATGAAACATCAATAAGAAATGATATTACATTTTCAGGTCAATATGACTATCATTACTTGGCATTTATCTTTTCCTACTGATACCATGTTTGGCAGCCAGTATCAGAGAAGACTAAGAAATCGTTGCTCTGTATTTTGTTTCCGTTGGTGTTAAATTGGCCTGTTCAGTAATGGCAGTCATTCATTCTGCTTTTTTTAGTGGATCCTTGATATTTCATTTTTCTTATCATAAGTTGTAAAGACAGCAATACATAAAGATGGACTAGTGCTGTGATGGTTTCAGAGGCATTAGTCTCTCATCAGGGTCTTGGGATGTAAATGCTCCTGTACACACTTCAGAAGAAGAAGGGTGCAGGGTGAACTTTGCCTCTTCTCTCTGCTATGGATATGCCTGGTTTTGTCATGAAGATAGGCAAGGAAGCTTCCTGCAGCCCTGTGCTGTCTTTTCTGTGCTCTGGCTTTCTCTGATCACGTGGGAAAGGTAGCCTAAGCCTAAGAAAGCTCAGCTTATAGTAGATGGCTATGTTTGGTTACATGCAGACTTAATTTCTGGCTTTGTGTTCCTGGCATTTAGAGTTTAACAAAATATTAGTTCTGTGATTTCTGAGCCTTTTTTGTAGTCACTGCTGCCTGTGAAGCATACCTACCTATTACTCACTTTGTACTTTTAAACTATATAATTTAGAAGCTGAAGTTTTAAGTATATCTTCCAGCAAATAACATGGATATCTGGGATACTAAAATACTTCTCTGCACTGTGGAGAACTTTGATATGAATACTAGATGTATTTACAAATGTTGGTTTTTAATGTGTTTATTTCATTTCAGTTCAAATAATAACATGTTCACATAAACCTCTCAGACAAACAGTAGAATAAACTTCCTAATTCATGAGTGATATTTAGTTCTTATCCCCACATTTCAAAATATTTACAATATGTGTAGCCTCTTTTTCAGTAGTATTTTTCACTAAATTCTGCATGCTTTCATCACCATAAACCTACAGGGATTTGAGATATATCTGAACAAATAAGTAATTTCCAGATCCATTGGACTTTTAAATAGATTGGTTTTTAAAATCCTTTTTTATCTTAGAAATTTGAGTCTTATATTACATATTAAATTACTAAATTTTTATACTACATAGAAGGCAAAATTTAAATTAACACCAGTGTATTAAGATACAAAACATTTAATGTCAGTGATGAGGATGCATGAGAAATGAATGTGCAGACCATACAACATAACTGTTTTTTATTCAGTTATAGGTGCCCAGCGCAGGAGAAGTCCCAGTGCCCTTGCCATTGAAGTATTTGAATCACATTTGGGAAGTCATATTTTACAGGTAAAAGAAAAATGGCTTTTCCAAGAAAAATCAAAATACCTACCTGGTCATATTTCTGCGAATAATTTAAATAGTATTGTTTATCATCACTTAAATTGATGAGATTATTTTTTTATGTTCATATTTCTTCTATCTTGAAAGTCCATAATTGGGAGACTGTTAATAAGAGGGAAGGCAAGTGTTGTTTTAGCTGAATCACAGTATTTTGTTGTTCAGAATTGTGCAGTAGGTATTTGCTTGCAGAATGCCCTTATGTGTTTGTGTGAATGTGCGTACAAGCTAGTATTTTGTGTTGGTGATTTGTCTTGTGTCATGTATCAATTTAGGGTTGGGGTTCTTTTCCCCCACCTTTGGTTAATGAGCACTGTTTTCCTCCATGATATCCTAGTTGTCACAATTATATATCATAAATTTGGAGCAAACTGTAGAGATTAAAAAATAGTAGAAGCATGCCTCTTAGGTGTCCTTAGCTTGGGCTGAAAACTGGTCTGGTATTTGTCAAACATGATTGTCACATGACACAAGTCTTCATATTCCTGGAAGACTCAGCTGAAAAACAGTGACCTGATGGAAATGTTCTTGTGCATGATTTATTTTGCCAGGGTTACTACAGCCTTTCTTAGGCTGAAGTGATCAAATGTGGAGTACAAGCAGTTAAAAAGAAAATGTGATGTGCTTTGGAGTAAGGAAAACCCAGCACTATGGAAATAAAACCCACACAAAGTCTTTTCTAAGTGTGGTGCTGAATAACTGCTCGTATTTAGCCATGTACACAGCTTCTCAATGCAAATATATTGTCTGCTGTATTATCTTTTGAGAGGTAGGAGAGAGGTAAATTAGGATATTATCATGAGAAATATTCCACTTAATTTGAAATGATTGAGAGCTATCTCTCTGTACTAACTCAGCTGTGGTATTCAAAAGCACTATAGATAATGTCAGAATTTTCACATCTTTATAGAATAACTAAATGCAGAATAGCAACAAAGATAATTTTAGGAAAACATTAAATTAACTAGTAGAATTAATTTCTTTCTGGAGCAAGAATCATGAATGAAATGATTTGCTTAGTTGTGCACTCTTGGCAGAGGTCTAGGTCAAGTTTTTGATTCTGTAAGCAAATACTTTTGCTGTAGTTATTGCGTGTATAGAGATCTGCACCAGTATCTACAGTATTGTGTTTGCATATTAGGCAGGAACACTGCTGTGCTGTCTCATACATGTAGGAAAAAAAGGGAAGAACTAGCAGCTTTGTGATATTTCAGTTAATGTAATTTGTCAGTATGTTGAGTGTGTAAACATATCATATATCCTAAAGGTATGTTTTTTACAATATTATTTATAACTCATCTATAAATAAAACCTCATTGAGACTGATTTATTTACACTCTTTAAGTATTAAGTATGACTCTTATGGATGAAAATGAAAAAACCTAGGATGGCTGCTTTGAAAACTACTTGATATTTGAGTTTTTCATTTGCTGTGTATTAAAACAATTAGTGACTTTCATACTTGTTTAAACTAGATTCCACTTATGAGTCGATGGGGTTTTGTTTTGTTTTTGTGGGTTTTTTTTGTTGGTTTATTTTGTTATGTTTTTGGGACTTTTTTGTTTCATTAGTTTGTTTTTTGTTGTTGTTTTTGGAGGTTTTTATTTGTTTTATTTTGCTTGATTTTGATTTTTTTAAAAAAAAATTATTTGTGATAAACTAAGGTGTTTTCAGGATATAACTTTATCATACTACTACTAAAAAAAAACCCCTGTATTGCACTTTTACTCAAAACTGAGGATTTAAAATCAAAATTACCATCAGCCTTGTACTGAATATCTGTTGAGGTGTGGCCCTTTCAAAGAAGATGATGCCTTTATCAAAGTACTCCCATGAATCTCTCAGTTGATAATAGGAAGTTCCACTCTGATATTTGCCAGATAGGCTGTTCACGATGGATAAAGGACAATATGAATTAATAGTGGTGACAGGTTTATCATGACATGTTAAGATTTTGTCTTATCTTAGCAGAGCAATCAACCCTTGGGAGGGAAACCTGGGTAATGCATTCAAATGCACCACTTCTAAGCAGATCACTTCAGAGTACTGCCTTGTGGTCTAATAGGTAGACATATAATCAACAGAAGACAAAATTATTTTTAAAACGACAATTGGACAGACTGTGTGGTGGAATACCATGCTAACATGTTCTGACCTAGTCTGCTACTCACAGAAATTATCATCAAATAAATATCATAATAAGTATTGTTTGCAAGTCAAGTAAACAACCTTGATTATACCTTGGGAATTTTGATTTCAGAGTCTGCTATCTGAAGAATTTGAATTAATAGTTCGTGTAATCCCTTTTGCTATTAATATTTTGAAGACTGGGTTAAGTGTAAGCTCAGAAATTAAGGAGCTTCTCTAATCTTTTTAATATTTTGATACTTCAAGATTTATTGATAGACAAATATACGTAATACAGTAGATTTTAAAAAAAGTGGATATAGTTTATTTAAAATGACATTACAAAACCAGAAATGGACATCTAGTGATATTTTTACATTTTGAGTCTACAAGCAGGTAGTGTCAGTCATGCCTAGCTATACATTATATACATTAGTCATGTCCATACATATTAAATCCATGTATTTACATATAATTCTTAGTCATCATTGAATGAAGAATGCCTTCATCCATGATTGGGAGTTTTTTTTATTATTAAGGAGTCAAATGTTTAAATACTGCTTAACTGATGATCAATACAGGTACTAAAGGTTTTTCTCCCATATGCAGTTAAGTGCAGAAAATAGAAAAGTAAAACTCTACCCATCATGAGAAAAATAAAAGTTAAAAAGTTCATTTTGATCTGACATAGCCTTTGTGCCCAGGGATCATACAGTTAATTCTGTTCTGTTAATGGCAGACCTCATCAGCTCCAAAAAAATCAAGGCACTATTATCTTTACATAAATTCAGAGATGAAAAATTGAATAAAAACCCCAATAAAAACAAATTTAATACTTTTAAAGGGCTTCATTTTTGTGAGCCTGGATGCATCTTTGCATTTGTCTTTTGTACAAATCTAGATATATACTGTAGAGGCTTATACTTTGCTTGCATATGAAATCTGAGACTCCTCACACATCCTCACTGTGAGGGTGGTGAAGACCTGGAAGAGGTTGTCCAGAGAAACTGTGGCAGTGTCCAAGGCCACGTTGGATGGGGCTCTGAGCAACCTGGTCTAGTGGAAGGTTCCCTGCCCACGGCAGCAAGGTTGGAGCTGGGTGATCTTTAAGGATCCTTTTAACCTGAATCAGTCTCAAATTGTATGATTCTATGTCAAAAAATCTTCAGGCCACAGCTGATTGCTGTGTATCATGCTGAAGAGATTCCCAGTAGTAGGTTTGAAGCCAAAGGCACTATCCACTCTGTGCTTGTGGAAAAAAAGACCATGAAAGATGATTGCTCAAACACTATTATATCTGAATCTTTATGTCAGTGGAATGTCTTTTAAATGTTTTCCAAGTAACATCACCTGAATTATGAATAGTAGAATAGGATGCAATGAAGGAGAAAAGTAGATAATGGCAATACATTAATTAATTTTTGACAAGATTTTTGATTTGTCAAATTATGGGCTTTGTTTTGCTTGTCTTGCATTCTTTTTCTTCTGAAAAGTGGTGTTATAAGGAGAACAGATATCTTCTGGTTCATATTTCTGTATATATGTCTATCAAGTAAATCCAGTAAAAAAATTACTTCTGGTACCTACTATTAAAAATTTAGCTTAAATTGGTTGTAAAAATTAGCAAGATTTTCATCAATTTTTCAGGACCTCTGGATTTTTTTCTGTAACTTCATTGCTATTGAGAAGGTGTGAAAAAGGGTCAGTAACCCCATAGTCTTCTTATAATCAGGAATGATCAGGAAATGTAGAACTAAATATAGAGAAAAGGGAAAGTTAGTGAATATATTTGCATATGCAAATTAGCTTAATTGATACTGCTTGCCTCTACAGGGATTTTTCATTACAAACTGGAGTGCTACATTGTTCAGCTCATATTGAGTAATTTAGTAACTAATGAGACCAGTTTGCACTAATTTGCATATGATAAATGAGCTTAATTGCAGTAAATAACTTGGAGGCATAATTACTTAATTTTCCTGTGTTGCATGGCTTTTAAGTTCACGTATGAACAACTCAAGATAATTTTGCATATTTAAATTAGTTGCTTTTAAAATTCTTGAACAAAAAAGAGCACACCTTACAATTTGAACTGTAAAACAATTAAAAATATAATGTACATTATTTTCAAATAAAATTTAATATTTCGAAACTATATATTTCTTCCTTTGAAAACACCAGTGCCTTTTTAAAGACTAAGTGTTTGGAATCGATCACAATGGAATAGTTTTAAAGTCAGGCTAGGATGGGAAGATGGTATAAGTAGTAATAACAGGAGAGTGTCTCTGAACTGTAGTGAGCAGTATGCATTTTGAATTTCTGCATACAAGAGTGATAACTTTCATAATTGCATTCTTTGCTTCAGCAGTGCCTGTTCAACTGTTAAGAAACTCTAACACTTTGATATAGCATTATGTAAGCGTTACATACGCACTAACTTAGATACTAGTTGTCTTAGATCGTCTATACTGTCCCACCTCCTCTTGAGTGAAGAAGTCCTTATATTGGATGGATACTGAAATGTCAGTGCAACAATAAGTATATCCTTTTCTTCTTTTTGTGGGCATTTTCAATTGTGAGCGCTGGCATGAACAACTGTTACGATATAGATTTGTACAATGAGTTTCAAAACACACAAACAAAAACAAAGAAACAAACAAACCAAACATAATGCAAAATCAAACTAATTGGAAGACTACAGTTTATTTCTGCCATGTCCCAAAAGTTATTGCACATTAGATAATTTTGATAGATTTGATAGAATTGAACTACTGAACCAGACAGAAAAAAGCCAACTACCAATCTCATTTATTCCCATAGCA